CCCCCTCCCTATGCACTAGAGGCTGCTTTTTATTTTATTATCCTGCTAAGCATGTGTTAGCGCTGCAATCTGTTTAGTTGGCACCAGCCTGCAGGCCGTGCAGTGCAAGGCTGGAGCCAGAATCCACTAATCTCCAGCCCAGGATTTACCTCCAGCTGTCCTGGAGCTAAGGTGATCAGATAGGTGCCTAGATAAGAAAAAGCACCCAAAAGTGGGACTGTCCCTCTAAAATCGGGACAGCTGGTCACCGTACCTGGCGCTAAGGTGCTATTTAATGAAGTCAGCACTCAAGCCTGGCTAAGGTGTTTGGTGGGGGGAGGGATAGCTCAGGGGTTTGAGCATTGGCCTGCTAAACCCAGGGTTGTGAGTTCAATCCTTGAGGGGGCCATTTAGGGATCTGGGGCAAAAATCTGCCTGGGGATTGGTCCTGCTTTGAGCAGGGGGTTGGACTAGATGACCTCCTGAGGTCCCTTCCAACCCTGAGATTCTATGAACTATGATGTCACTCATTGTCTCCAGTGGATGAGGAGCTGAGCGAAGGGGTAGCCGTGTGTTTAAGTCTCTAGGCTGGGACTCAGGGGGTTGCCCTTCATGCCATGGACCTTGGGCAAGCCACTTAATCTCAGCTACAATGGGGCTAATAATACCTATGCTCACCTATTCTTTGTCTGTCTTGACTATTTAGTTTGTAAACGCTTTAGGGCAGCAGTTGTCTCAGTATGTGTGTACACTGCCTGGCACCATGGGACCTTGCTCTTAGTCAGGGCCGTCAGGCGGACTGGGTTGGGAATTGCCCCATGAAATGTTTTTCATAGACTCTGGAAGGGAAGTCGAGAGGTCATCTAGCCCAGTCCCCTGCACTCATGGCAGGACTAAGTATTATCGAGACTGTCCCTGACAGGTGTTCATAGAATCATAGAATATCAGGGTTGGAAGGGACCTCAGGAGGTCATCTAGTCCAACCCCCTGCTCAAAGCAGGACCAATTCCCAACTAAATCATCCCAGCCAGGGCTTTGTCAAGTCTGACCTTAAAAACCTCCAAGGAAGGAGATTCCACCACCTCCCTAGGTAACGCATTCCAGTGCTTCACCACCCTCCTAGTGAAATATTGTTTCCTAATATCCAAACTAGACCTCCCCCACTGCACCTTGAGACCATTGCTCCTTGTTCTGTCATCTGCCACCACTGTTTGTCTAACCTGCTCTTAAAAATCTCCAATGAAGGAGATTTCACAACCTCCCTAGGCAATTTATTCCAGTGCTTAGCCACCCTAACAGTTAGAAGTTTTTCCTAATGGCCAACCTAAACCTCCCTTGCTGCAATTTAAGCCCATCCTCAGAGGTTAAGAAAAATGATTTTTCTTCCTCCTCCTTGTAACAACCTTTTACATACACCTCTACCCCGATAGAACGCTGTCCTCGGGAGCCAAAAAATCTTACTGTGTTATAGGTGAAACCGCGTTATATCGAACTTGCTTTGATCCGCCGGAGTGCGCAGCCCCCCCGGAGCACTGCTTTAACACGTTATATCCGAATTCATGTTATATCGGGTCACGTTATATCGGGGTAGAGGTGTACTTGAAAACTGTTAGCATGTCCCCTCTCAGTCTTCTCTTTTCCAGACTAAACAAACCCAATTTTTTCAATCTTCCCTCCTAGGTCATGTTTTCTAGACCGTTAATCGTTTTTGTTGCTCTTCTCTGGACTTTCTCCGATTTGTCCACATCTTTCCTGAAATGTAGCACCCAGAGCTGGACACAATACTCCAGTTGAGGCCTAATCAGCGCAGAGTAGAGCGGAAGAATTACGTCTCGTGTCTTACTTACAACTCTGCTGCTAATACATCCCAGAACGATGTTGGCTTTTTTTGGTATCAGAACATACCGTTTTGTTGCAAATGAAATTGTTTGTGGGAAAGGGCCAGGTGTGACACTTTATTTTTGGACTAAAACAAAGTTGAAACCAAAGCTTTTCGACTGTCAATATTTTGTTTCGCCATTTTTCTAAACCAAGTCTGGATTTCTGGGTCAAAAGGATGTTTTGCTGAGGGCCTTAAGCTTATTATAGAAAACAAAAACAAACAAACAAATCAAAATATACAAATAAATGGTTGAAAACAAAATGTTTTGATTGCCCAGAACCAAAAAATAAATAAATAAAAATAAAATAAAATTGGCCTTTTTGGTTTGCAAATAGTTTCAGGATTTTGGTTAGTCATTCTGCCTCGGGAACACTTTTCTATACATTAGAAATGTTCATGAGACAGGAAAACAGGTTCCCATGAAGCTCTCCCTTTGCAGCGGCTAACATCATAAATGTAATAAAGAACAACAACAAAAGCACATGGAATATGTACAAACTTGGGCACTCAGCAACCGAGGGTTAAAGAATCTGCCCTTGGGCTTAGAATTGGCTCTGTTTTGTACTAAATAAACACCGGGCTACCATTAGTTTGCTCTCCTCTACTCACAAGAGCCCAAAGACCAAGCATTAAGGGGAGCAAACAGATTCTGATTTCAAGCCAAGTATATCACGCCTGGTGTAACTCCACTGAAAACAATGGGATCTCAGCAAATCTGGAACGTTGGGGTGTGAACCCAAAATCAGTGGCTACCTCTGAAAATTTTGACCAAAACGACTTGTCCAAGGTCACACAGAATTGGTGACAGAGCTGGGGCTAGAACCCAGCTGTCCTCGCTCCCAGCCCCATCTTCTATTAGACTTTCTGCCTCCCTATGGCTAGATGGGGTGACTTTTGCCAACACCGGTTCCTAAATTGCATCTGCAAAATATGCGCCTGGATGCATTCCCTGTATGTGCTTTTGTGTGTAATTACCGGCTCTTGTTTTTGCATGTGCAAGGACCAGATTGCCCTTTCTATAGGCCAAGGATTGCACATGGCAAATAATACGCACTGCCTTTTACCAGGGGAAATTTTTTTCATTTTAATTAAATCGACTGAGGAAGCCAAGACACAGACAGAAAGAGACCGAGAACAAGACTGTAAATAGTTTAGAAAAAGAAAAGAAAAAAAAAAGAAAAGAAAACCAATTGACGGAGATGTAAATGCTGGGTGGAGCTGTTCAAGGGAGGAGGAGGAAGAGGCAAGCCTTCACGTCAGCTCCAGGATCACTGTTAGGGTGAGCATCAAAATTAGTCTGAAGCCGTTGGGGCTGGTCACTGAACCTAGACAAAACAAGAAGGGTTAGGGTTAGCAATGTGGTCCTGTAGTTGTATGCAAATGAAGAGACTGTTTATAGATCTCTATATATTCATAGATTCAAGGACTGGAAGGGACCTCAAGAGGTCATTGAGTCCAGTCCCCTGCCCTCATGGCAGGACCAAATACTGTCTAGACCATTCCTGATAGACATTTATCTAACCTATTTTTTTTATAAATTAATGGAGATATCCTATCTCCTAGGACTGGAAGGGACCTTGACAGGTCATCAAGTCCAGCCCCCGTCTTCACTAGGCAGGACCAAGTACTGATTTTGCCCCAGACCCTTAAGTGGCCCCCTCAAGGATTGAACTCACAACCCTGGATTTAGCAGGCCAATGCTCAAACCACTGAGCTATCCCTCCCCCACCAGGCATGGTGGCTTTACAGACCAACGGACCAGATTTCCGATCACAGTCATGCCACTGTAAATCTGGAGTAACTCCACTATTTCAGTGACATTAATCTGGATTCCCACCAATGCTAATGGAGTTTAATAGTCATTACTTGTATTATGGTAATAGCTGGGGGCCCCAACGGAGATCGGGGCCCCATTGGCTTTACAATCACACAGCAAGAGACACTCTTGGCCCCAAACAGCCCACAGTCTGAACAGCCAAGACAAAGGGTGGGAGAATGGAGGCATTGGTATCCCCATTTTGGGGACGGTGAAACTGAGGTCACATGGAGTATGCGATAGAGCCAGGAACTGAGCCTCGCTTTCCCAAATCCCAGTCAGGTCCCTTAACCACAAGATCATCCTTTCTCGTAGTGGTTGGTTCAAGTTCAGAATCTGGCCCAAAACCCTGCCCTGAGGTGCTGACATGCTAAGATACGATAGTTGCAAAATGGTTGTAAGTGATACACGGCTGTAACTTGTGCTGCATACTGATCTGGCATTCACTGCGTGTGCCAAACCAGTGCAGTTTAAACACTGCGGGAGAGGAGGTGTCTGTGCTGTAGGAAAACCAAGTCAGTGGAGGGCGGAATCCCTACCAACACTTGAATATACCCTGCACCATCCCCAGGGCTACCAGGGCCAAATTTAGCAGTGTCAGAACTAGGCACAACCCTTATTGGGGCAAATTCTCTGCTGGCATAAAGAGCTCCACATAGAGCTGGCCAGGAAATGCTTTTCTCGACTCATGAGAGTTTTCAAAAAAAAAATTTCCATCCTGAACTGGGATGAAAAGTTAAAAATCTTAAACATGGTCCCAACCAAAAATCCAAAATGGTTTTCGGGTCAGATCAATCAAAGCATCTTCTTTAGATCATTTTGAAATGTTCCATTTCAGATTTGACTTTTCTTTTTGGTTTATTTTTCTGCTATACATTTCATTTTGAAATTTTAAAGTAGTTTTGAACTGGAAAACAAAACTTTTTGTTTAGAAAATGTCAAAACACGTCCCATTTTGACCATTTCAACTCCCCCCCGCCCCCCGCAATTTTCAAAGCAGGCGTTTTGATGAAACCGAACCTGTACTGCCAACAGTTTTGGCTTTGACGCATCAACGTTTTCGGACGAAAAAAATGTTTTGTCAGAAAACTCTGCACCTACTCTTATGGGGAGAGTGCCCACAATGCCTCGGGGTAGGGAGTGAACACTACTCCAGGAAGCAGTGTAATTTGTGCTAGAAAAGGCAGGCCGGGGGCTGGAATACTGCAGATTGCAGTGAGAATGGAGGAGAGCTGATTCAGAAATGATTTTTCCCCCTTGTGAAAAATCTGGATGAAAACCAAAATTTTCCATTTTCTGAGAAATTTTACAGCTTTTCATCAGGAAACAAACTCCAAAATTGATCCCTCCCCCGCCCTCAATTTTTGGGTCTTGTTTTTTCAATGAAAACCTGAAAAAGTAATTGACAAAACGGAATTGGGTTTTTCGTATAAACTTCCATGCTGTCCAAAATTACTTTTTTTTCATTGGAAAAAAGTTTAGGTGAATTTTTTTTTGACCAGCTCAAGTGATGATGGTGAAAACAAACTTCTTTGTCTATACGGAGGAACAACCATCATAGTCAGCATAGGTTGTCTTGCTACTTGTTGACCGCTAGTGGTTCACCAGCGGATTAGTAACACTACGGATCATAATATAAACCAGTGGTTCTTAACCTTTACTGCAGCCTGCACCCCTTTGGGTCTCAAAATATGTTCTCGCACCTCTTAAACCTAGATATATTTTTGGTTTGTATATTACAGTAATCGTTAAAAAATGTGTGATGTTAATAAATACATAGATTTGACGAAACAAAGTAGCTGTACTTACGTGCCTGTGCTTAATTTGTGTTTTCGATGATTTACCTTCTAAAAAAAAATCTGGAATGTCTCGCACCCCCCCGGGGTTATAACCCCAGGGTTATAAACGGTCAGAAAATGTTTGGTTCATTGAGGCATGGAAGATTCTTGGCCATAAGACTAAGCACACAGTTTTATCTAGGCATGGCCTTCTAAGAACATGAGGTGTTCAGTTCTCTCCATCCACCCCAGAGGCAACTCAGAAATTAGCTGTAATTTATGATGAAATACAGTATAGGATCCAAACTTACCATTTGAGTCCTCTGTTCCTCTTGGAATATTTGGGTTTTCTAATTAAAACAAAATATATATAGATACTAATTAGAATTAGATGCTAATTTCAGATGGATAACATCAAAAGGACTTTTTAAGTGCACATTTATCTCGTCGGAAAGCTAATGTCTCTTTCACACCACTGTTGCACTCTGCCTTTCTCGATAACAAGGGTCAATCAATGATCGGTGCCCAACAAAGTGAGAAACCCTAAAAAGGGTGATCTTGGGCAGCGCCGACTCTTTGGATTTTCTTTCATTTCTGAGTTTCGGCAGCAGGAACAGAATCTCATCTCTATAGCGGCTCCTGACTGCAGGTCAGAGAGGAATTGAGGCTGGATTTTTTACTCAAGAGTTTTTGTCTCTTTCTCATTTCTAGACTCTTTCTAGTCTCCATGCTGTGGGGAGGACAATGGTTAACATTGATTCTCTATTCGTGGTCTCTCAGCAGCCCAATGTATGAAAAGGATAGCCCTGTCCCTCTCTGCAAAAATGTCAAAAAATGTGTTTTCAGTTGATCTTAAATGAATTTTTTTTGCCCAGAACTGGCAGAGAACCAAAATAATGAATTATCGTCCCATATGCATTATAAACAACTCCCACAAATGTCATTTCTTGATCATAAATTTTTCAGGACAGGGACCCTGGGCTAGTTATTTGAGCTGTAAAATAAATAATATTAATGATTATTCTCAGCTAAGGGCCTGAAATGTGCCGCTGGCAAACGTCCGTACAATCAAAATGCCAGTCACACATGGAGTCGCAAACAGCAAATGACACGGCAGCATGGCTAGGCCAAAGGAAAAGCCAGTTTCTATTTGGTCAGGGGTAGTGAGGACATTGTGAACAAGCTGGAGTAATGTGGGACACAGGAGGATTCTTCTACCGTACCAAACACTATAAGCCTGGTGTGGGTGTCTGTGGACCCCAGCGGGTTCTGAGCAGTGCAGCGGTACATGGAGCCATTTAACTCAGCTGGCACTCTTTCCAGGACCAACTCCTTCCCATCGTGCTCAGCGCTGCCATCCAGGAGCCTGCTCCCAACACGGGTCCAGGTGAACAAGGGCTCGGGGAAGACTTCGTTCTGCAGCCAAGATGGGGAAAACAGCTTTAAATAGATGGGTCATTTTAATAAAACAGAGTCATTTTCATTACTGCAACCTCTGCTGACCACCCTGATACTAACACAGAGTTAATCATTGGCATTGCAGATAGCATCTTTCCTCCTCCCAAAGATCCACAGAGTCAGATATTAAGGCCAGAAGGGACCGTTAGATCTTCTAATCCAAGGGTTCCCAAACGGTGGTATTGGTACCCCGGTGATATCTGAGCTTGACGTTCCAGCCAGTCACCTCACAATAATTTTTTAAGGAGGAGCTACGTGGACCAGGAAAATTTGGGAACCATTGATAGTCTGACCTCAAAGATCCCTGAGAACTTCACTGATCCTCCAGGTGATGGCATGGGTCACCCCAAGTCACCCCTGAAATGCTAGAGCTCAGCACTTACCGGATGTCTACACCGCAATAAAAAAAACCTGTAGCACCAAGTCTCAGAACCTAGGTCAATTGACTTGGGCTTGTGGGGCTCAGGCTGGGAGGTGTGGGGGCTAAACAGATGACACTAAGCTGGGGGGAGCGGTAGATACCATGGAGGGGAGGAATAGGGTCCAGAGTGATGTAGACAAATTAGAGGATTGGGCCAAAAGAGATCTGATGAGGTTCAACAAGGACAAGTGCAGAGTCCTGCACTTAGGACGGAAGAATCCCATGCACCGCTACAGACTAGGGACCGAGTGGCTAGGTAGCAGTTCTGCAGAAAAGGTCCTAGGGGGCACGGCGGAGGAGAAGGGG